CGATAGTCTTAAAGACGCAGACACGAGTCTCCAGGCTTCATGGGCTTCGCGAGAGCCGGACGCCACTGACTTGGAGGGACTTTGGGAAAAGGCTACAACGAGAACCCAGCGCCGAGCGCAACTCAAGGCATCGGGCCAACCCCTACCCACCACAAGCCGCAAGGAACGTGTAACTCTCGGCACCCATGTAATCAAGATACAGCCCACAGAAAGATGCGACGTATTGGGCTTAGACCCAGAAGAGCTGAAGACCGTTATCAGCTCCTTCGCCGGTGACCCCAAGTTGCTCAAACATCAGATACTGAGGGTGAGCAAACTCTCTAATACCATCGTCGTTACTACGTGCGACTCCACGCAGGCCACGCATCTCCTCCGTATGGGTGTGTTACCTTTGCGATCGAGACCACCACTCCCGGTGCGTACGCACCAAGTTCCCACGGACGGTATCTCCCGGGGAGTAATCCATGGCTGCAAACCCAACGAACCCACGGCTAAGCTTCTGGAGGCGCTGTACGCCGACGGAGTGGATGTCCTGACGGCCCGGCCCATGGGCTCCAAAGGTACAGTCCTCATCCACTTTGCATCTCCGCATCCGCCACGCGAAGTTATGTATTGGAGCTTCCCGAGAAGGGTGGAATGCTACGAACAGCGATCTCTCGTGTGCCCGCGCTGTCACCGCCCGGGACATAAAGCCACCAGCTGCCCGATTAACCAGCCGGTCTGCAGCAACTGCGGAAAACAACACGAGCAAACCCCGGAAGCCTGCCCGAATGGCGAGGCCAAGTACTGCGGTCATTGTAAACAGGATGGACACGTGGCTACTGATCCCTCTTGTCCCGCTCGAGCTCAATTCGCTCAGCGCGCGAAACAAAGGGAAGGAGCCAAACAAGAAAGACTGGCACGGAGCCGCTCGCGCAAGCGCAGGCAGCGATCCAAGCAACCCTCTGGCACCACTAACTCACGTCCCGGTTCCAAGAGTACTACCTCCCAGCTGCGCGGGTCGAGCAAGGTTCAGATCCAGGATCTGCTCCACTCCTACGCCGATATAACTGCGAGAGATCTCAAGGGCGGTCGCAGCCCAAATGCACGCCAGATGCTTGAGACACTCCAGGTCGAGCAAGACCGCGATCAAGCCGATTTCGATAGCACTATGAAACGTCTGGAACAACAACTGAAAGAAATTCAGCGTACAATGGAACAAGTCAAGTGCAAACACAATCAACGGCAGAAATCACGAGCAGATCGGCTCCGGGCGCTGCACTTTGAAGTTGAGGAAGAAGAGAGATTTGAAACCGAGCTCCTTGGGAAAAGCAAGCGACGCCAGTCCCTTTCACCTGGGCGGTGTCGCACACCATCTGAAAATACTTAATCCACACGACAGCAGGCAAGAAAGCAATCCCACGTACCTGCACCCCAGCACCAGGCAGCAACCCAGAACTCTAACGAGCCGCCGGTATGGATACAACAACTCATACAGCAGCAACAGCAGCAAGCAGAGCAAATGAAACAAATACAGCAGATGCAGCAGCAAATACAAATGCAACAACAACAGCAAACGCAGCAGTTCCTCCAACAGGTGACTCAAATGGTCGCACAACAGGTCGCTCAGATGTTCTCCCCCATACTTAGCCAACATGGACCCAGCCTGCACCAGCCGCAACCAACCTCCACTGAACAGCAGCTCGGCGCACCCACCGCCTGAGCGTCCTCCCGACCTCCTGCAGTGGAACTGCCGCTCGCTACGTCAGAGCGCTGCCGAACTCGTCGAGCTCTTCCGCTTAACCGGAAGGCCGGCAGCGCTTCTGCTGCAGGAGACACGGGGGATGAGTCCGGGCATCTCGGGCTTTAACGGATACTTCCAACCAACGATTGAACACGGACTAAGAGGCGGATCGAGTGACACATCTCAGACCATTGAAGCACAAGCTGCGGTGTTTGTGCGCAAGGGCCTCCCACAGGCACAAATAGATACGACGGCCTACTGCAACCCGTTCCAGGAGGTGGTGGCGGTTCGCTGCACGCTTGGACGTCACCGGGTCATCCTAACCTCCTGCTACGCGAGACCTGAGTCAAGCTGTTCCAGGCGCGGCCACGCTGGACAAGCCGGCTTCCAATGGCTGATGGACCCCCGGCAGCGCTACCCCCGTGACCGCCTGCTCGTGGCGGGCGATTTAAACGCGCACCACCCGGATTGGGGGTACTCGATTGCTAACGCCAGGGGCGCGCGGCTAAAGGAGGCAGCGGAGTTGGCGCACCTCACTCTGGCCAACGACCTCGACTACCCAACGCGCCACGGACTGCACGAGGGACAGCGAGACACCACCCCGGACCTGACCTGGGCAGACTCCCGACTGGTGACCGACTGGCGGTGCGTACCGGACCCTATGGGGTCCGACCACTATCCCATCTGGCTGGAGCTCTCAACCGGCGGCAAAGCAGGGCGCAGACGTTTAACTCAGGCTATCGACTGGGACACCTTCCGAAAGGCGGTGGCCACGTGCGAAGACGCGGTTCCCGTAACCGCAAAATTACTGAGGGCAGCGCAAGCGGCCACGCGAAACCTGGAGGTGGAAGACCAAGACCCGGTTCCCGACAAACATCTAATCAACCTGTGGGAAGCACGCAAGCGGCTCCACAAGATATATCTTAACAACGGCAAACGATTCAAGGACCTAGTGCGTTTGCGCAACAAGACGGCACAGGCACGTAGATATGCCAAACGCCTGGCTCGCTCGAGGTGGCTTGACCACTGCGCGACATTTGACGAACGAACTGGCGCCCGCAAGCTATGGCGCGCCCACAGAGCCTTGACCGGCAAGACCAAGGCGCCCAACACTGCTCGCAACATCCAGCTAGCCACCGACCAAACTCCGGAGCAGTTTGAGGAAGCGGCCGCCAAGGCCTTTTTCCCACAACCTGCTAACAATCCGGACCTGTGCCTGTACGAACTGCAACCTCCGAGCGACACAGAACAAGACGCCCCCGCCCCGTTCACGATTCAAGAATTGACACTGGCCTTGGACTCTTTCAACGAGCGCAGCGCCCCTGGCAAGGATGGAATCACGTGGCGCATGCTGCGCAACCTGGACGAGCCGGAGAAACGAAAGCTCCTGAAAGAACTTAACGACGTCTGGGCGTCAGGAGTACTACCGGCCGACTGGAAACATTCAGTGGTGTACCCTATTCCGAAACCAGGAAAGAGTCCGGATCAAATACAGAACCTCCGACCAATCTCACTTACGTCTACGCTATGCAAGCTACTCGAACGGATGATCCTTACGCGACTCACTTATGTCTTGGAAGAAGCCAGGGACGATCCTTACTACGACGCTGCGCAGACTGGTTTTCGCCCCGGACTGTGCACCCACGACAGCCTACACCTCCTCCGAAACTTTGTGGGTAAGAGGCGCCGAGGAACCAACAAGGTACCCGGACTCCTGGTGGCAGTGGATCTCCGGAAAGCTTTTGACACCGTCGAGCATTCGGCAGTGATCGAGGAACTCGAAGAGAGTGGCGCAGGCACCCGCATAATCAATTTCGTGAAAAGCTTCCTCAAGAATCGTACCTTTCCCTACTGAAAAAAACCGTTTGGCGCCCATATGAAAATAAACGGGTCCATACCGGTAACCGTTTAACCATACTGGTCACCAGTTTGTCAAAGGGGTCGCCCGTATGGCTCAAAGGGGTCCCCCGTATGAGCCATAACGGTCACCTATTTGGCAAACGGGTCGCTCGCCTGGGCAAATGGGCGACTCGTTTGGGCAAAGTTGTCGCACGTTTGCTCAAACCGGCGACCATGTTGCAAACTGCACCGGTTTAATCAAACGGCTCTCCGGAGCCCGTTTGATATTGAACGTACAGATCGGCGGCGTGGGCACGCCTAGCGTTTCAGCCGTGGCAGCCAATGTTTTCCGGAAGGCTGGGAGCGCCGGTTCATCGATTTCAGATCGTCCGCGTAATGCAAGTAATTATATTTATATTTCAATTGCGCTGGTTTTCGATTATACTGCAACTAAAACTAACACCTTTTTTTTTGTTTTACGTAAACGCGCGACGTTGGTGAGCCGATATTTTTGACAGACCTTTAATACTTTGTCCATCTTTGTTGCCTCAATTTACTTATTCAGCTCGAATCTCTCTCGCAGAAGACGCGACCGCGTGAAAGAATGTACGTCTAGACTCCGTTTCACTTTAATTCAAGACGCAACGAAGGTAGCACGCGTACACGCGGCTGCAAGAACATCGAGCATTGCGAGAGCACGCCCGCCGTTGCAGCACTCAAACTACGAGCTTGCGATATGTTCTTTCTACGCTCGGGCGCAAGCCGAGCTTCTGGCAGCCCCGCCGCCATTTCCAAAGTTCGAGCGCGCGCGCACGCGCGCGTTTGTTCTTCGGGACTACAAAAACGCATCTCCCTGGAATGCCTGGGGAGAGGGAGAGGGGCTGTCCCGGTGGTCCCAGCGCCTTGACCTCGCCTCCTCCCTCCTCTCTTGTCACCCCTGTCACGTGACCCACAGCAGCGCGCGAGCTACACGGCTACACGCTGATAAGCATCGAGATCCGGAAGGGCGCGCCTTGCAGCCACTTTTTTCTGCGTGCACCTAATCGGAGAGCCCCATCTCCTCTGCTGATTGGCTGCAGGATTGTAGGTACCGCGTAGGCCGCGTAGGGATAACTCGACTAGGGATGATTCTGGTTGCCAGCGTGTCGCTCCGTGGCGTCGCCGGGGTTACCATAGTTACGTGGTTACGTGCCGTTTTTCAAACTCGTTTCGACGGTTTTTCGCTACCTTTTGATCGCACGCTGACGCCGCCGCCATGAAACTCCGAGGTGCTATCGTCGGGGATAGCCAGTTGAAGTTTTTGGAACGCCATCGACTGCGGCTTGTCCCAAGTGTGCAAGTGTGCACTTTCAGCTTCCCGGGTGCATCGACACGTACGCTGCCCGGGTACGTTGAACAATTGCACCTGCACGCCGAGGACTTCATTGCCGTGTATATCGGTGGAAACGACCTTTTCAACGGGGACTCCGCCGACGATATAGCCACGCGAATAAAGGTGAATATCATCATTAAGTTATTGAAACTAAAGCAAATGTGCAGGCGGGCTGTAATGCAGGAGCAGTGGAAAAGCGGGACACGCAACACAAAGCTCCAAAAAGCACGGAGCTTTGTTTTGTCCGTCCCGTTTTTTCCCATGCAGCTTACCATATGTAATAATTTTTAAGCGCGTATTTTTTCGTTTTCGATGACGGTCTCCGACGAATATGCGTTCAATGGTTGTATGTATATATTTAGATTCCCCTCACATAAGTGCATCGCGATATTAATGCCAATATTGTGCCAATGCCACTGAAATCCAAACGCAGACGAGCTGGTGCACACTAATATTTAAAAATCTTGAAACAAAATAAACAAAGTCTGAACTGTGCCACAAGCAACAAATTTGAAATATGGAGAGGATTGCTGCTCATGGGGTTTCGCCAAGGTGCGTCACGTAGCTTTTTTCTGAAGCGGTTTTCCAGGCAGTACACCATAGGACATCCCTGGGATTTCATCGTGCCTTCCTTCGAAAGAAAAAACGGAAGTTACTGACGCCCAAGTTGTGGCTAGGCGTTGCAGTTATTTTGCAAAGATTTAGAAGAAAAATAGTTCCTCGATGAAATGTTAAAAATTTAAATTGTCTTTGTGAATGTGCCCTTTTCAAGTAAAATGGAAAATGTGTTCTGGTTGGGAAATAATTTTAACTATAACATGATGATAAACCCCGAGTCTAGGGAAAATAGTAAGCAGCCAGAGGACAAAAAAAAAAAAAAAGAAAATTAAAAATACGTCAAATCCACAGACAAGTAAATCACCTCTGCAGCACCATAAAAAGAAGAAAGGTCGACTATATTGTCCCAGATTAAAGAAAGAATAAACATTTAGAAAAGATAACACAACATCTTTCAGAGCTGTTGTGTAGTGTGTCCCACATGTTTATTCTTCCTTTAATCTTGACTCGCACCCACACGGCATCCGTCAAAATATCGTCCCATCACCAAGGCCCTTATCGTTCACATTTCAAAGTCAGGCACTCCAACAAATTCAATAAGGCTAGGAACTTGTGCACAAACAAAAGAGTATACTTGAGTTCAAACGCACGCAAAACAGAAGTAGCTCGGATATTAGTGCTTTCCCATATCGTGCTAACAAAAATAATCTCGTAAACATTAAAAAAAAAATATATTCTTAGGAAACTCATTTCTTCCGAAGCAGCATGGTGGTGTTAAAGGCATGCTGAACCGAAATCTGGATTCCAGAAAACACGGCGGCAAAAGCGTGCAACGGGATGCTACGAACGCCAAAACATCACTCATACAGGAATATCTCGGACAAATGACTGTATTTAAAAGAAAAAAAAGAGGCGCATTTGACAGATATGTTTACATCTTGTTTCTTCGAGAAGGAGAGGGAGTGGCCTCGGCGTCTTCTCCGCCTTGCCGCTTTGAGGGTGTGAAGCGAAGAGAGGGGGAAATGAGATATCTTGACGTCACGCGCCTCGTCGGCCTCGTTCAATCTCGACCTCTTTTTCCGAAAATACGGCTATCCATTCGAGATGTCATTTTACGAGTAGTGTTGTAGGGATTGTAGAGCTTTCTGAAATCCAAATTTCGGTTCACCATCCCTTTAATGTTACAGTTTCCCGGATTACTATTTGAGCAGTTTCCTATCATTTAACTCTTTGTGAACTACTTCTATATCAGACCAGTTTGCCTTACATTTAAAATATTCTTGATTATCCCTAGCTAGTTCCTGAGTTGGAAACATTGTTCTTTACATTGTGTTTGTGTTCAGTCAGTCAGTCGTTGATGCATATCAAAGTTTGACCTACATTTAGCTGAAACCACAAGCCAACGATATCTTGTACTCTGCTACTTTTACAAATAACTGCATTTTTGTGATGCTTTTTCTGACATTCATTCTGCGCTGTCTGGAAAGGCATCAGCTTACTTAACTTGAAGTCAGAGTCCTTCCCACCTTTTAATGGAGGCAACTTTTTTCTTTCATAATGTTTACAGCTGAAATTTGCACCAAACATCCACCAGCCTGCCACACCTTCATGGAGAATCCCATATTTTTGTAACATGTGGAACTAACTTATGCGCTCCCCTCAAAGCATCACCGTACCATTTGTTTATGCGCTGTAAATTTATTCAATTTCATGCGGTGCTTCAGAATATCAAGATGGTCTTTACTATTGAGAGTGTGTTGGCACTTCACATGTACACCGGTGCAACTAAATATTGGATATTTTGGCAACGAGAAATTGCCAAAATATCCTGGGAGTTGGACTGCTGTTGTACTGGCTGCAGATTGTACCATGACTGTACAATGCTCATCCAGATCAAAACATGCAGCTAAACAACAAAATTTATATTTTCGTTTTCAATGAATCTAACTGCGCCATATTCCAATGGTGCTATACTTGAGTGGGTGCAATGGTTGAAAAGGCAGAGCAGGCACATTCTGTTGCACAAGGCAATGCAAAACTTTTAACAAATTCTGCTGTTAAGTTCAGTTGTTTCTAATACAACAAATAAAAGAACAGTATACTGTAAACGACTAAATTTTCGCGAGGACCTAATTTTCGCGAATCGCCTACAGTTCGCGAAAAATATGTCTTGCAAACGATTCGGGAAATATATGAACGCCATAGAAGCTACTCTCAATTCGCGAAAATTAGAACCCGCAAATTATTTCAAATTTTCAACTTTGGCCTGATTTGCGCAAACTTAAGCCCGCAAAAATTAAGTCGTTTACGGTATATACACATGTGCTCTGAAACTTTTGTTTGTTGCTTTAAGACCGTTTGAGGGGATCATATAACATCACCTTGTTAAACTTGTGCAAGTTGCAGGTATGGTGATAGATGTGTTTACTAATGGTATATATATCGGGTGTGTCTAATGCAGAGTGCATATGTCATATTGTGCTGTGCAAAATAACCAATGAATTCTTTTGCACAGCAATCAGTAAAAAGAAATGTCGTGTGGCTTTTCTTTCACACTTCACTGATGGTGCGTTCATTTCACAGAACTAGGTTAATTGAACATTCGAATTGGTGTAGCTGCATTCACAAGACTAAAGTGCACATTTGTAAGAGGCTATCATTTGAGTGGCTTCTTCTAATCTCCAGACATTTCCAGTGGAGTAGGAGAAATGAGGTAGAGAAAAGCATAATATTTTGGAGTGGCATTAATCTTGCTCTTTAATCTCACAAAAGTTAATCCTTCCATTTACATTGCAAAGCGATTTCACCACAAGTACTATTGCTCTGGGGAAATTCTAGATTTCTCTGGTCATCATCACATCTCAAACAACAAATAAGAGGTTTTCCTGGTTGACAGCTTAGTTTTATTTATTCAAAATGATTAGATAGGTCTTTTTTATTGCGCTAAATTTTATAATCGTGCACCGGTAACCTAGCTCACCATTTTGTCGGGAATGCCTTTGTTGTCTTGTTATCTATCTTTGGGTTACTACTTTTTGAAGTAGCAAAGTGCTCTAGTTTATGTAGTCCATTAACCTGAATAGCAGCAGTAAATAACTTTGCTTTGTCACGTGCATAAATGGATGTTCTTTCTTTTCCAAGGATTTCATTGTCGGGCTCATGAAGTCAACACGGCACGTGCTGGTGTACAAGATTATACCGAGAGGTGGGCTTGTCGGGGCAGCCAGAGAGAGAGAAAGGCTTGTGCTAAACCGCCTTCTGGTACAAAAGCTGGCTGCCCTCAACGTCACCATCTTGACTGTTGATGTAAGTACATAACACTCACATCCCTGACACATTGAGCTTTTGAATTGCATGTGACACATTTTCTAGAGCCTTTAAATACTCTGTTGGTCCAATATACACAATGATTGATTCAAACAGATTTTAAAAAAAAAGGGGGGGGGGGGGGGTGAAAGTTAGACGAGTGCCGCCTTCACCGTGATCTCAGGCTCGGTGGACATTAGTTGTGGGTATAATCGTTATGGTTAGTTGACTAATTAATTGAAACCTGTTAATAAACGTTTTAATTATCGGCTTTAGGGGTCGTGTTGCAGTTGCAGTATTGATGGCAATTACAATTGAAATAATTTGTAGAAATGTAATGGTTTTTGAGATATTAAGTCATACAATTTTATGTTTTTTAGCCCAATTTAAAATTTAAAAAAAATGCAGCACAATGACGCTTTGAAGAGTGACATACAGTGCAATCCACTTAGAGTGCTAATGAGAAAACTCGAAAATGCAATCGTTATAACCGATTGTCGTTGTATATGGGCTGGATACCCCACGCAAAAATGAATTGTCCTCTAGAAACTGACCGTTATAAGCGGTACATCATTATGTGTGGTATCGTTATAAGTTAATTGCACTATAGTCGTTTTAGTCACATCGCCACTTCTGCTGTCTTCGTACCCACTAGAGTCACTGAATGGGTTTCCAGAGTACCGAAACTCCCAAGCTCCACACCGTGGCAGTCAAATTCATCCATATCCATGCCGCCATTTTGGAGCCTTACACTGTACGATAACTGTACACATTAGTCATTCTCACTAGACCTTTGGGGTGCGGGCAGTGGAGCAAAAATATTCTTTTTTTCCACTTAATTTTTACAGCGAAGTTGTTATGCGGTAGGATTTGGTGAAAAAATGCATCCCCAGATGTTGGCAGAAAGCTCCCCATTGGTCGTCGCAAGTATGCTTAAATAAAACTAAAACGAGGGGGCAAGTAGTGTGAGTCAGCCTTCCTTGGCATTATCAGATAGTGAGGTCCTGATCCCTTGTTATCATCTCTGGGCATCGTCCTCAAGGTCAACCGAGAGGTCGTTTTAGATGCTGTCCTCGAAATCGTGAAGTGGAAGGGCTCAAAAATTTTTTTAAGCCTCTTTATATACTTTTTTTTTTCTACATATCCAGACTGACATATAATTTATTCAACGAGGATGGTCTATGCCATATTCCAATTGCAGTAGCAAACTTTATCTCTTAGAGCTTAGCCGCCTATTTCTATCATCACAATCAGCCGCTGGCATTTTTTAAATGTCTTTTGAGCATTCAATACACTGTCATATAAATGCAGCAACATTTCAGTGATTTATATACAACTATATAAAAGATGTTTAAAACTGGACAGCAGCAGGATAGAATACAACAGTCTCAAGCTCTTGTTTTAGCTTGACAATTGCTTTGCTGGGCAGATGAAGCTTTCAACAAAGCACAGCAATGGTTTCCCCACAACGATTCTCCGAACAGTTGGCTGTCGACACAATCTCTGCGAATGGTTAATGCAGACAAATGGAATCAACGGTGAGTTATGAGAATGGCTTGGTATGAAATCAATGACCCTCTAAATTAGAAACACCAAGGTGTCATCATTCATACTATACCTGAGAAGCAAGATGCATCGTTTCCACTCAGGTCATCAAGTGACATTATCTACAGTACCAGGGGCGTAGCCAGGGGGGGGGGGGGGGGGCTTATGATGCTTTAGCCTCTCCCCCCCCCCCCCGATATCCAGCCGGCCCTATAATATCCAGATGCATTTTGACCCCCCCCCCCCCCCACCTCGCCCTCTCCGCACCCCAAGTAATGGACATCCCAGCAACCTCAGCCCCCTTCGAAAACAAGTCCTGGCTACGCCACTGTATAGTACATATAAGGCCTCGCTGTAAAGGCCTCATTGATGTTTTTTGTGCCACACGGCAGGAAAACAGCAATGTAATGAACAAAAAGAACTCGGATGACAACCGTCTGAGTGCCCATTCGTGCAAGAGTGTTTGCTTAATTGCATTATGAGTCACCCAGACATTCCTGCTTCCAATTTCGCATGCAAAGCTACTCTTTAGATTGTTTTTTACACTTCATACGAAGCAAAGCAATTTGAATAGAAAGCACTGCAATCAAATTTTTTATCAGAAGCAGCCATTCTTCCAAGCTCAGTTGAAGCAGCCTGATGGGGTGCGAGGTAACAAGCGATACGCAGAGAAGACCAGTGAAATACACTCTCCTCACAAAGCTTGCTTCTTGCAGTGGGCTTGGAGTTCTTTCATTTTACAGTGATGCGATTGCTGCGCCATTCGCACCAATAAGCCCTGCTTATTGATATATATCTAACAATCACTACATTTTTTTTACTCTTTTCAATTGGTCTGTTGTTTAATAGTCATTGCCATGAATACTGCAATTGCAACATGACCCCAAAACCAATAATTAAAAAGTTAACAGATTTTTGTTCATTAGCCTACTTACCATGACGATTATCCCCTCACCTAATGTCTGCCGAGGCTGATAAAAAATAAAATGAAAATGCCATTTGTCTTACTTGTAACACTGCTTTTTTTAAAATCGGTTCATAATAAAATTAAACGTTCTGTATAGTGAATGATTGAGTCACACATTTTTAAGTTATTGTATCCACCTTGTGTACTTACTTAAATAATATTGTCAGTGATGGTGGGCCTCAGAATAATTGCCAACGGCCATAGACTGCTTTGAGCATATGTTTACCCGGGTGTAAACATATGCTCGATAAAAAGATGTATCTATTAGTATTCTTTTAGCTGGATTCAGCATTGGTACCATCACCATTGGCAACGCTAATTTGTCCCACAACAAAAGTTGCACACAAATGTTGCTGCGATAAACATCAATATTTTAAAATCAATAAACTCCTGGAGGTAGCCGCTGGAAAGCCCATATTCATCCCATCCTAATCCATCAACCTACCTTGTGGCTGCTCAAGGTGGAGTGGTAAAGGATGTAATAGAGCAGTTTCAACTATCACTCTTCCCCGCTTTATGCAACCTCTATGGTTCATAGCTTTCACAGTTGCAAAAACACGACCTCTCCTTCCTCGAAAGCACAAAAAGTATCGCCCAAACTGAAAACCAAAAGAGTGGCTTTTTTCGTGACCAGAAAGTTCAGTGACCTGTTGTCCTGAATGAACCTTGACTAGATAGGCGGTAGACCCCTTTTGACTGATTCGAGATTTGAAAGGTACCTTTGGAGGCACAGGCATTCCCTAGGACCATTGACCCTGTGTGCTGATCACGCTTAAGTGTATAATATCGTCTTGTTTTTTTCTTGGGGGGGAGGGCACACTGAAATTCTGAGCTTTACGGATAAATCCAAATTGACAAAAAATTTCCCGGCAGGTGTTTTTCTGAGCTTTTCAGATTTATCCGAAAACATGGAACCCTATTTATAAGTAAGATTTTTGCGTTTCCAGATAAACTCGAAAAAAATCAGAAAAACATCTGGTAAAATTGTGGTAGATTCGTATGTTTGCACCTGACAACTTCGAAAACACATAACCTTAGTTAGAACCTTAAACAAATGTGTGCCATGCCCTTCACAGAAATAAACTATTGGTCAGCTTTTCTTTTTTTTTTTTCTTTACTCCACTTATTGATTTTTCAGCACCTGTTTCTCAGCAAGGGCAACCAGGTAAACCTCTGCAAACTTGCTGTGGACCTCTACCATGTTTGTCGAGTCCGCGGGATTCAGTGTCTGTCCTTTGTTTTATGCAAGGCTTTAGAAAAAATTTTTGGAAACGTCCGTTGTAGGGCTTGTGCACCTTTTATTGTTTTTAAGGTGCACTGCTGCAGCCGGTGTAAAGCAAAGGGCCACCAGGTGGGTGCCTGTGTCCCCATTGCCTGGCTGCAGCAGTAGATAGCGCCCCATATTTTTCTCTACAGAAGACGACACAGTTAGCGCAAGCACAGCATCCATTTTTTGTTTTCGGTGTTATTTTCACAAGTGAAAGTTGTAAACAAACAAATCCAGAGATCCTGGGTTTACTCCCCACCCCTGCCTGTTTCAATCTGTATGAGCATCGTACCGCAACATGCGGTCGTGTACCACTACTCCGTGATGCACGTTAAAGACCCCAAGGCTAGCGGTTGTACTGCACTGGCTATATTGCTCATCTACAACTGGGAGACAGGTTGCCCGTTGAGGCCGACTAACTTCTGGCTGGATAAACATATGCACAACACAATTACTTTTACCAACCTAGGTCGTAAAATTTGATGTTTGGCAGTGCTGTGGTTAAAACACAAGGATGTTGTGCTCATGCTTACTGTGTCACGCAGTGCACCCGTGGCTCGAACAATTTTTAAATTTGAATGCGACTCTCTTTAAACAGAAGCAGACTTCGCTGATGGCATTTTTTTCTTTTCGGTGCTGGAACTAAGCATTTAGCTTTATGTTAATATTAGGCGTCTTTTTACGCCTTTATTATTTGTATGGTTTTACAGGGAGAAACTGCTGAGTGAAGTGTAAGCAAGTGCTGCTTAAAATTTATTTCAAATTTTCACTGACAAGTGGCCTCAGTCAGCGTGTAGAGCTGACCTATACCAAGGTTCCCCAAGTTTTTAGATGCACATAACGTGGCTGATCGTGCTGGTTTGTCTGGGCCTGATATATAAATATCTGGGAAACCTTTTATCCATACAGCCATCTTTTTAACACATGAAATGCATTTTAATGAATCTTTTCCGGGACACTTGTCTATCTGCCTGTCCATCCATGTTGGTTAGGCCAATTAATCCTACCAAATATTGTGGGGTAGTTCTATTTGTGTATACTTCAGATTGATATGTGACGCTGCATAATCGCGTGATGTCATCCTAACTTGATGTATGTGTCTTTGCTGCAATTTTAGAAATACATTTCATTTGTGTTGTGCGAATATTCAAATTTTCGTATATTAGTTTTGAATAATGTGCTATTCGATATTTGCTTAGAGATTAACTGCGCTATTTATACTTTTCGAAGTGTCGATCGTGGCGAGTTAGCCCTGTTGTGTGCACTTCTCACTGAGCACCTGTGCACTGCGGGAAAGCTATACTCGCAGAGCCAGCGAGCTCCGCGGGTATTGCCTTCTCGCAGTGCACAGGTGCTCGGTGAGAAGCGCACTCAACGGGGCTAACCTGCTGGAATTATGTATGTAAGAGTATATTAGGTAGCGATATTTTGACAACCCGCGCTCATCATCTGTGCTTGTTTTGTTTTTTTGTCAGATTTAAAAAGGAAGAAAGACTATTTTCATAGAGCAAGCAGGCATAAATCTCCTCAATTAGGATAGCAGCAGCAATTTGGTAATTTATATGCCACAGTTAATAAATAAAGCTATATTAAAATCAATCGAGCTTAGAAGTGGACAAGTGGAAGCCTGGGAACAACCTTCACGAAAGTGGACAAGTGAAATGGTTGGAGAAACTATTCAATATTCAATTAAAAAATATTCGGCCAAAACCACTATTCCCTTTCAACTCCAAATCCACTATTCGCACATGACTACAGTTCATGCATTGTCACGAAAAATTTTGCCAATTTTTTCTCTTCATTTAGTGTGGTTAATAAACACGAAATATCATATATTTGAAGGTCCTCAAAAGTTTCTTAAAACCTTAAATTGGGATCTAAAAAATGTTTATGAAATATGTTCATACTCTGTGTCTGTACCAACAACCTGTGAACCATGAATAAACAAACATTACAAATCAATGCTAATTTTTTTTCCTTCCACTTGTGCGCTTGCCCCCTGCCATACAAGTCCCTATCGAGTGCTGGCATATTCTCTGTGGAGATTTTATTGAAACAAATGTTACAAGTAGGAAGGGTTGTGAGCTTTGATGCAAAATAAGTGCAGCATTTTAATTTACTTTGTGACTTTTGCTGATAATTAAAGTATATTAACATGTTTATGCAGATGTAAGTTTGTCTGCTTCTTTCACAGAGGTTGCAATGATGTCAGAATAAGGAGCTCTTATTGGTTGATTAAAAAGAATAGTGGGTAGACCTTGAGGCATTAGCATTGAGGTCTACCCACTATCCTTTCAATCAAAGCCAATCGGTTCTTGGCGTTATTGTGACGTCACTGCAACCCCTGCACAAGAAGCAGACAACCTACTCTCTGCATTGTTTTATGCACCTGCCCCTATCCGTCTCTCGTGGGTAACCTTATGGTAATCTGTGAACCCTGCCTATTTTTCATCAAGGTGCAAGTGACTATTTACCATTCCTGAGGCTGTCAGAACCTAAAATGTTATGTGCACATTCAAAAGTGGTGAATGAACTTTATGCTATGCATGGCATACCTCAGCATACCAATTTTGTGGATGACACTTTCAAGCAACAGAAACATAATTGCAGAAAAAGCCAACCAATGTTAACATTGACAGTAATGAAATGTACAAAACACTTTATCTTTGAGCATCTAACACTCCCAAAATTGCTAAGTTGTGGTATCGTGAGCTGCCACTCATATGAAAGGATATGACACGGGTAATTTATCATAACAAGGATTCATACTGTATAACAGTAGCGCTTATGGGTGTTCCGGCAGCTAATGTCCCGTTTTCCCCGAGCAGTTAGTTAGCTTATGAGTCGGGACACATTGTTGTCGTTGTACTTTTCCTTCCCATATGATTAAACAAAGAGTATGGAAATATCAAAGAAAATGTTCAATACTTCATTCAGAAAGCTACCTGAAGCATATGTAGAAACCTCTTCGGACATGTTCTACTTGTAGGGTGCTGAATGAAAAGTTACACTAAAAAGAATTGTCAAACGGGCTGCCTGTGGAACATTAGGGTGATGTCATGTCATTTTATGCAATTACAATTTGGATCATAGTTTTAATATTTGTGTAAAGATATACTGTGTGAACCATGACCTTGCGAGAAAAATTCAGATAGTATGCAGGCCTGGGCAATATCAAAGATATCTGTATCTTCGATACTGCCTGTAGAGATTGAAATTTTGTCAGAAAATCACTTATCACTTTTTAATACGTTGTCGGATCAGGCTGGAACTTTGGCATCTGGTTGCGACCTCTAGTGCTACCTTTGGGCGGAGAATGAGCGCTCGGCAATGCCTAGTTTATTTTTGCGGTAAAAAAAAACCCTGTAAATTTTCTCTTGTGACACCCTGTGCACATGTTAAGTGTCTGGTTGCGAGTTTCTTGGGATTGGTTTGACATGCCCAACCATTCTCCAGTTTGTAGGAAGTCCAGACACTTCTCGAATAAAGAAAATGAGCTATTTCTTTTAATTATATGTGGCCAACTCATTGTGGTGGAACACAATGAGATTAGCATAATAGGCAGCTTCCTTTTATACATGCATGGTTAAGCTATTGCGTTAGCGGTGCAACTGCATGATGTAATTAAAGGGACACCAACACCGCCGAAAAGTTTTGTTTCATATTTTGCCGGGCGATTTATAATGGTGTCAAAAGACTACCCAATCAATATTTTGCTACAGCGTCACATATATTTCTAATAAAGTAAAAAAACGCAACTCATGAAACCGAAACTTGACTGGGGAGAAAAAAGAAATGTAGAGGAGGAGAGAGTTGGCAGAAATCACGTGGCTGTGCAACTTTTTTTTTCTTCAATCACCGTATTTTCCGCTTTTTAGAAGACAAAAAATTGGTACCATATTTCGTTTCCATTTTTAATATTTAGTGCATACCTTCAATGACTCATGACTATGATTATATTTGGCGGTTGTGTCTAAACCATAGAAAATGGCACATGACCACAGAGAAGAGACTGAGCGCGACACAAACCGTTTAGTTCTCAATCTGCGGTTTTCGGGCAGAATAATGACTAATTTTGAGCTGGCTGCATTGTGTTCTGAGTACTTGGGCTCTCATATGTCATGTACAAATAGAAACCTTGGCTAGCATAAATACCTTGTCAGTGTTCCTTTAAGTTTCTAGTGACGTTACTTCGCTAGCCTACCGTTTATCCAATTGCCATAGTGCAAAATCGTCCATCACGGGTTTTGACACTTATGAAAACTTATGATAAGAGAGCTCTGATGATGCTTGAGGTTTTAAAACTTGTTTTCTGCTTCTTCTTTACTCAAAGGAAGCCTATCTCTATACCAGTGGTTCTCAAACATTGATGTTTCGTGGACCCCTTGTGGAAAAAAGATGATGGAGGACCCCGTTTGCGGTGAGGGGAAGGGAAAGGTATACACCTTTTCTATGTAGGTGCCGCCATCATCAATTTTGAAACTTCCGATGTGCGTGAAAACATTGCTTTACTCTTGCCTCACCAGTTGAACGTGTTCGCATTTTAATTGCAACCGTTAGTCATTCTTGTTATGTCCATCCTATATTTTGTTTACTCATTCTGGGTATTAATCGCTTGCTTTTTCTTTCATTTGGAATGCATACCAGATATGGGAACAAAGGGGCTCTGTGTGAGGCTAAACAAAGAAGGTGTAGAGGTGAATTATGATAATAATTTGATAAGTTAATATAACTAAGGCTTAGTGTTGAGTAGACTCTCTCATTGACATACACACGAGAAAACTCTCCCGAAAATTTGAACGTTTCTTCTGAATTTGAAAAGAGACATCTTTTATTGCCTGGCTTGACTGATGAGGCAGGGCTTCGTGAACCCTTAGAATGCCTTTGCGGACCCCTATTTGACAACCACTGCTTTATACCATCAGCTTGGTTCAAGGCTAATGATTTTAGCCGTGCCGACACGAAAGGTTCTGGTGAAGGGGACACTCGCTGCTTCATTAGTTCAGCGGCGTGAAGGTATAAATTTTGCTGTGTGTGTAGTGTTCTTTCCTGTTCGGCTTGCTGCTCTCACACTCAGCTTAAACCCTAATGTCCGCCATAA